GAATTTAATCTCGTACCGACCCGTATTTATAGCCCGATAGATGTTTTAAAATGATACCTTATTACTTATATTTACATTTGTGACTAATTCATACTTTATATTTGCATAATTGTGACTTTTAACGTGTGAAATGCATTATTTTTCAAACCCAACGGCAAGTATGTAATTCACTGAACGCGCGTCGACCCTTTATGACGTCACTGAGAAATTACGTCAAACGATTATCCAAACGCACATCTATGACCTCTTGACCCCATACCTGTATTTATACAGTTATGCATTCCTTTCAGTAGTGTTATATAAAGGAAAACATTTGCAAATGTAAATATTTCAGTATAACTTGGCACACAAGTAGACTACACTAAAATACATAATTCTGTGTATCGGTTTTTGATTTTGATGAACAGTGTTGCCGTGGTTACTAAAAATAGAAATTTCTGTGAAATTCTTTCAAAATGCTACTCCTTCTACAGTTTTGGTCTGATTTCAGTATAACTTGGCACACAAGTAGACTACACTAAGATACATAATTCTATTTATCGGTTTTTGATTTCGATGAATGGTGTTGCCGTGCTTACTAAAAATAGAAATTTCTGTGAAATTCTTTCAAAATGCTACTCCTCATACAGTTTTGGTCTGATTTCAGTATAACTTGGCACACAAGTAGACTATACTAAGATACATAATTCTGTGTATTGGTTTTTGATTTCGATGAACGGTGTTGCCATGGTTACTAAAAATAGAAATTTCTGTGAAATTCTTTCAAAATGCTACTCCTCATACAGTTTTGGTCTGATTTCAGTATAACTTGGCACACAAGTAGAATACACTAAGATACATAATTCTGCATATCGGTTTTTGATTTCGATGAACGGTGTTGCCGTGGTTACTAAAAATAGAAATTTCTGTGAAATTCTTTCAAAATGCTACTCCTCCTACAGTTTTGGTCTGATTTCAGTATAACTTGGCACACAAGTAGACTACACTAAGATACATAATTCTGTGTATCGGTTTTTGATTTCGATGAACGGTGTTGCCGTGGTTACTAAAAATAGAAATTTCTGTGAAATTCTTTCAAAATGCTACTCCTCCTACAGTTTTGGTCTGATTTCTGTATAACTTGGCACACAAGTATAATACACTAATATACATAATTCTGTATATCGGTTTTGATTTCGATGAATGGTTTTGCCGTGGTTACTAAAAATAGAAATTTCTGTGAAATTCTTTCAAAATGCTACTCCTCCTACAGTTTTGGTCTGATTTCAGTATAACTTGGCACACAAGTAGACTACACTAACATACATAATTCTTTAAGCGGTTTTTGATTTTGATGAACGGTGTTGCCGTGGTTACTAAAAATAGAAATTTCTGTAAAATTGTTTCAAAATGCTACTCCTCCTACAGTTTTGGTCTGATTTCAATATAACTTGGCACACAAGTAGACTACACTAAGATACATAATTCTTTCTATCAAATTTTAATTTTGATGAACGGTGTTGCCGTGGTTACTAAAAATAGAAATGTCTGTAAAATTGTTTCAAAATGCTACTCCTCCTGCAGTTTTGGTCTGATTTCAGTATAACTTGGCACACAAGTAGAATACACTAAAAACATAAAGAGACTTTATCAGCGATCATTATTCTATTCATTGCTGTTGTAAAGTTTCAAATCCCAGCTGCTTAAGTACTTTTCTCTTCCTTTGCTATAAGTTCAAACCAGTAGAGCTTCAGTCTCGACAGAGACTTCTGGTTTTTTTTTAATAAGTTTTTTTTATAATTTTTAACTTTGGCCATAACTTGGAGATTTCTGTACACAAGAAAAAACTTTATCCTTGACCTACTTTCATATTTCACAAAGAGAATCCCCTCCTTTGTATTTCCAGGGAGAATACCCTACTTTAGGTACCAATATATTAAATTTGCATTTAAGAAAAGTTTAATCTTCGCTATGTTGCCATATGGGGCATCAGTGATTCACAAAAACATACTTTTCTTTTCTTAAAATGTTAATTTAATATATTAGTATCAAAAGTAGATTATTCTCACTGGAAATACAATTGTAAAATATGAAAGTATGCCAAGGTTAAAGTTTTTTCTATAACTATGGAAATCTCCAAGGTCAAAAGATCAAGGTAATTGGTAGCCAATGAAAGGTCTTTCCACAAAGAATACATATGTGAAGTATGGAAGACCTAGCCATAACCCTTCAAAAGTTTTGGCCAAGGTTAAAAATTTTAAAAAGAAGGTCAAACTCTAAGTTCAAGGTCAAAGAGTCAATTCAATAGTCTTGGTATCAAATGAAAGGTCTTGTCACAAGGATTAAATATGTGAAGTATGAAAACACTAGCCATAACCCCTTAAAAGTTGTTATCAAGGTTTGATTTTTAAAAGTAGGTCATGGTCAAGGGGTCAAAGTGTTCTTGGTATCCAATGAAGGATCTTCTCATAAGGATTATATATATGTGAAGTATGAGACCACTAGCCCTAACATTTCAAAAGTTATGGCCGAGGTTAAAGTACAAAAATATCCAATGTCAAAAGATCAAGGTAATTGGTATCCAATGTAAGGTATTTTTTTTAAAAATAGGTCAAATTCCAAGGTCAAAGGTCTTGCTATCAAATGAAAGTTCTTGTCACAAGGATTAAATACGTAAAGTATGAAAGCACTAGCTCTAGCCCCTTAAAAGTTATGGTCAAGGTTTGCTTTTTAAAAGTAGGTCAAATTCCAAGGTCAAGGTCAAAGTTCTCGGTAACTAATGAAGGGTATTCTCTCAAGGATTACATATGTGAAGTATGAAAGTCCTATCCCTTACCGTTCAAAAGTTATCACCAAGGTTAAAGTTTTTTTCATAAGTACTGAAATCTCCAAGGCCAATGTCAATAGGTCAAGGCTATTGGTATCCAATGAAAGGTCTTTCCACAAAAAGGTATATATATGAATATAAGTGTCCTGGCATCTACTGTTCAAAAGATATGGCCAAAGTAAAAGTTTAGCATTTTTGTGTAAAAGTGGTTAAAACTTCAAGGTCAAAAGGTCAAATTTGATGGTACCCAAAGAAAGGTCTTGTCACAAGGAATACACATGTGAAATGTGATATTCATAGCTCCACTTAATCAAAAGTTATGCACAAGGTTAACGTTTTTAGGACAAACAGACAAACAAACAGACAAAGAGACAGAAAGACGCAAGAGAGACAGACAGGAAAACAACAAAAACTGTATTCCCCGAAACTTTGTGTCTCTCAAATTTTACATGTGTATTCCTTGTGATGGAACCTTTTGACCTTGACCTTAGAGTTTGACCCACTTTTAAACAAAAATTTCAAACTTTTACTTTTGCCATATCTTTTTAACAGTAAATACATGTGCCAGGACATTTATACTTCACATATGTATATTTTGTTGAAAGACCTTTAACTGGATACCAATAACTTGACCTTGACCTTCGACATTTCAGTACTTGTGAAAAAACTTAAGACTTGGTTATAACTTTTGAAGGGTAAGGGATAGGGCTTTCATACTTCACATATGTTACATCTTGATGAGAAGACCCTATACTGGATACCAATTACCTGGACCTTTTGACCTTGACCTAAGAGATTTTTGTACTTATGAAAAAACATAACCTTGGTCATAACTTTTGAACGCTAAAGGCTAATGATTTCATGCATCACTTATGAAATTTTTGTGAGAAGATCATTCATTGGATATCAAAAACTTTGACCCTTTGACCTTGACCTTTGAGTTTGACCTACTTTTAAAAGGCAAACCTTTGACCATTACTTTTAAAGGGCTAAGGCTGGTGCTTTCATGCTTTACATATTTAATCCTTGTGACAAGACCTTTCATTTGATAACAAGACCTTTGATCTTGGGTGTTTGACCTACTTTTTAATTATTTTTTAAACCCTGGCCATAACTTCTGAACAGTTAGGGTTGGCTTCCATACTTTACATAGTACGTATTTTTGTGGCAAGACTTTTCAATGGATAGTAATGACCTTGATCTTGAAGCATGTGAAGATTTCCGTGAAAAAACTTTAACCTTGGCCTACTTTCATATTTCACATTGTATTTCCAGTGAGAATACCCTACTTTTTAGGGCTGGGTATTGGCCAAAGATTTCGTATTGCGATATATTGCAATATTTTTAACTGTATTGCGATATGTATTGCAATATTTTAAACGTTATAAAAATGTCATTTTCGTATAATATTAACATTAATTTACATGCAAAATTTACATAACTATAATCAGTAAGCAAAAAGAAAAAAATCTTGTTGATTTTATTAGATTTCTGCTTTGAAATACACCCATAAAACAGCTTCTGTTTTACTGTTTGACTTAATAACAACCTGTCAAACATTTATTTTTATATTTAATGATGAAATTCCTTAGTCTAAGCGTTTTGCCAATATACCGATATTACAGAAACGTATTGCAATACGATATTTTTTGTCACTGTATTGCAATATACAGAAATATCGATATTTTTGCCCAGCCCTACTACTTTTGGTACCAATGCATTTAAGCAAAGTTTAATCTTTGCTGTGTTGCCATACGGGGGCATCAGTGTTTCACAAACACATCTTGTTTATTGAACAGGTGCCTGTGATTTATAATAGAGATTCCTGAAAAATTACATTAGGAAAATTTTATCAGAGATCTATATAAATACTGAGTATCTATTTATGTCTCTGTTTTCATATATAAAGCACATTAACAGTGAAAGGGGGGCTAAACGAACAAAAAACATATGTCAACAATTTTTTTCCATATACATGTATATACTAAATCTTTGCCAAAAAAGACGTTCCGACGCCCATTAATAATTCCGGATTTAAATACGTTTTCTCCCCGAATGTTACAACTCATTCGGAACTTTCTCGCAATTTAAAAAGACCCGAGAAATCTTGTGTCGTCCTAGCCTTAGTACATAAGTCCTCGAACCGCTTCATGCTTCACCGGATATCGCAGTGGAGTAGGCTGTGACGTCATAGCTAGTGTCGTCCCAGCAACCCAACCGCGTCAAAGTGTTTCAAAACATTATGTGAAATAAGAAAAACATTAATTTTAAAACTTTGCTAAGTTGTTGGAATAATATTCAATAATGTCTGGTTCCAGGTAATATGCTGCTTTTACTGAAATAGGTCAACGGAATATTTTTCGATTTGAATTTGACATTTACTAGAATTTCCTCTGTTATTTCATCAATCCTGCATTAACGCTGTATAAATAGTGTATCTTACATAACACGTTATATGTTGTAAAGTAAAACTGCTTTGGTGTATCAACATGACATATATGGCAGTTGATATGTAGTTTTAGGAATGTAAAATAGGCACTTATCAAGTTGTCATGTGTCACCTGTAAATCATGCAGGTCCAGCACAATCTCTTGGTTGACGACTTTTCATGAGAACCGAATTTTTTAATGTTATTTTGTCTTGTTTGACTGGTAATGCAGATATCCGGATGCTTCACATATCCGGACAAATTGACTAGGAACCAAAGCGTCCGGATAAATGAGGCTCCACTGTAGCTTTATTAAGCTATCAAAATATCTTGATAAAGCTATTCATATGCAGTTTTTTACAAAAGTGTTTATTACAAAATCTCTCAAGGAGATGCATTTGCCATTTGGTGAGTGATTTTTTCATGCATTATATTCAGAAGAATTAGTTTAATATTTCTATTGCACCAAGGTGCGATTTTTTGCACATACTGAAAAAATAAAACATTTGAGAAAAAAGTCTGATAAAATAGCTTAATTAATCAAGCTATTCTGGTTAGCTTAATAAAGCTAAATAGCTAAATCAAGTTTTATAGCTTAATCAAGAGATTGTGCCAGACCTGTAGATGTAAATGTGATTATTATTTTTTTTTAAAGTTGAAATGAAGTCAACTATTCATGTTCAATCCAAATTATATTCGTTCCCTTTATCCTAGTAACTTTTGTATATGCATTTTGTTTATTCAGTGTTGTTCCACACACACCCAGAAAGAAAACAGAGGCATTGCCATCCATAGATGCCACAAATGAAATACAGGATCCACTTGATTATTCATTTTGTCGTCTAAATAAAGTAGAGGGTAAGGGATAAACACATATTTTCTTCGGGCCTTTCTCTATTGTATGCAGCAAATTAAATATTTTTCAGAATAAAAAGAACCTGAATGCATGAACGTTACTTATTTTATTTATTTAATACACATTTTACATTTCATAGATGCACTAGATGAGGAGCCCAGATCATCTCCAAGAAAGAATCAAGGCCTAAACGAGGATGGCAAATCTACAAGTCGATGTCTCCGTTTAAACAATAACAGCCTTCAGACAATAGAACGACTTGGTGAAGTCATCAATGCCAAATTTGAAAATCCCAAGAATATTGCTTGGATCGATTTGTCTTTCAATGAACTCACAACTGTTGATCCGGTAAAATATAGCGATAATTTTTCTACAGGCATATGATTGGACTTACCTTATAAGTGGAAATTTTAGTGAGATGCAAATTTAGTGATTTCTCCTTAAAAACTGGTATTTTATTTTTGGCGAGAAGTAATTTTAGCAATTTTAAAATGCTCACTAAAAAAAGCTAGTACAAATAACACCCAATTTATTTTTAGCGATATTCAATTTTAGCGATCTCAACAGCCTTGCTAATAATGCCAAAATTAAATCCTTGCTAAAATTTCTACTTATACAGTATTTCCTTCTCACTTAGTTTCAATGGGGTCATTTCTTCTGATCTTTGTTAGGCCTTAGGTTAGAATAGATACACACAAAAGATTACAGAGGTAAAATAATGGCTATACCATTTTCCCACTGCTTTCTTCCTTATTTCCTTCTCACTTAGTTTCAATGGGGTCATTTCTTCTGATCTTTGTTAGGCCTTAGGTTAGAATAGATACACACAAAAGATTACAGAGGTAAAATAATGGCTATACCATTTTCCCACTGCTTTATGCAGCCAAGGACAACCCTTTTGGGCCATCTTTGAAATAATCTTTGCCCTCTTCCAACTCAGGATAAAAAACTTGGATTGGTAGGTAGGGGAGATTTTTTTTTCTCCAAGAAATTTTAAACATCAATGCTTATTGCTGACTCTTCAAAATCTTGTAGTAGGAAAGGAGAAATGCACGAAAAAACATATGGCTGGACCGGGAATCGAACCCGGGACCCCTGTATTACTAGTCAGGTGCTCTAACCACTGAGCTATCCAGGCCGATATCCACGGTCCGTAAAGCCTGAACTTCTACATTCCTCCCTCCTTAAACAGTCTTCGACCTCGAAGACATAAGTTCTAGGGCCCTGCCAGGTATTACTAATTTACACATACACTGTAACCTGAACAAAGCCCCCCACACTGGCCACCAAGTGTAGTAGGAAAGGAGAAATGCACAAAGAAAACATATGGCTGGACCGGGAATCGAACCCGGGACCCCTGTATTACTAGTCAGGTGCTCTAACCACTGAGCTATCCAGGCCGATATCCACGGTCCGTAAAGCCTGAACTTCTACAATCTGTTAAAACTGAAGGTACTTTAATATCACTACAGATCTATTATAATCTTGAGAATAGTTGATGTTTTATTGAGAAAATTTCAAAATGAATAAAAAATAATGATTTCCTAAAAGTTAAATACAGTACTGTTTTGAGCCTGCCCATTTTTAGGCAGTCAGTTGGGAGAGGGCAAATAAACAATTTTTTTAAGATGGCCTTCATAAATTGACTATCTTCTTTTTTTTTCAAAGAACTCTTTCAATCGTATTTGTATTTCTGATTTCAGATATTTTTACCACATTAATTATTTCATGTTTTGAACCAAACCAAAAGCTGCCTTATAACCATTATGACTATCATAAACATTTACAGTAAAACTCGTTTAGTAGTTAGTACGAACACGGATATAGTGAATTCAGGGATATAGCGAAGTTTTTCTGGGTCCCCGGCAAAATTCTTAACAAATCTTTGTAAAATTTTACAGCTATAATGAATTGTGATATAATGAATTTACGGATATAGCAAACTGATTTTGAGCCCCGTTGGGTTAAATATAATGAAATTTACATCTTTTATAACGAACTTTCAAAGTTTATAAAAAGTTTGATAAATTGAACTGACCTTATTTTCTTTTAGCATTTGTACTTAAAATTCAATTCAAAATAAAACCTTGGTTATCGAAGATATGTTTTGTAATATTTGCTTCCCTAACATATTTAGTAGTAATAACTGAAGGAAAACATGCATATTGTGAATTCCCTGTAATGGTTATACGAATTCGTTATACGGATATAACGAATTACAGATATAGCGAAGTTTTACTGTATCTCAATTTCAAGCTGTCTTATAACCATTATGACTATCATAAACCTTTACTATAATTTTTGTAGGTTCTGTTAGAGTTTACCGAGCTTCAGATCTTATATCTCCATGGCAATCAAATAGCTGACATTAAAGAAGTGGCCAAGCTTTCTGCTCTGAAGAATTTACGAAAGCTGACAACCCATGGCAACCCATTGGAGAAAGCAAAGGTATGAAAGAAATGAAAAGTTGCTATATATAATTGGGGAGTGTTATGTATTGAAAAGTTATTGTTTGGCCTATGTAGATTTTTGTTAAAGTTGTTTATTTCTTGGAAAGTTTAAAGAGCTGCAGCACTATTTGTAAAACATTAAAATCAACAAAAAACCTTGAAATATAACGACTCAAGGAAACAAAAATGCACCATTTCTGCTTTGCATTGTAAAAGCCTCTACATTTATTGAAGATAAAAACTGGGTTGGAGTCATGAATCCTGGGAAAGATGTATAATGTTTATAGATTTCCTCAGAAAGTGTACAATAGAATAGTTTATATAAATTGTAACTTTAATAATAAGCCTCATTAATTTATGACCATAGCTTATACAATTGTTGAGAAATTTGGTTAATTAGTTTGCATACAAGTACTCATTTTTTGAGACATAGAATTCAACTTCAGTGGTTTAATAAATAAGCAGTCATCTCCTTTTGGTTTATTCTTTTAATTTCATTATTTTGATGCTGTATGACATGATCTTTGGTGTCTGATCAGGGTTACAAGTACCAGATTCTGGCAATGATTCCACAACTTCAGGCCATAGATTTCAGTCGGGTAACAAAGTGTGATCGAAAAACATCCGAGGTCTGGAACAATCTTCACAGTGCTCCAAAGAAAAAGAAAGAAAAAATAGAGGATGACTGAGAATGTTACAAGGGATGCTCATTTTATTGTTTTATATATTGTTAAAGTATATTTCACATGCATTGTAATTTATTTACTTATTGGAAAAGTACAGATTCACCTAATAATTATTAAGAGTTTACATTACAAAGTAATGTAAATGTTAAAAACTTTGCATTTATATTTTAGTCAAACAAAATGAGAGTTATTTTTAGTATTTAATTTGATAAAAGTTCACTGTTGCCATGTTTATTTCTGTGATATTTTAAATTGAACAGACTTTTTTGTGAATTTTACAATAATTCAATAATTTGCTATTATAATTTGAAAATTATTTTTATACTTGGGTGTAAAAAATTTAATTAAGACTGACATGTACAATGAAAATAAAGTCACGTAAAACATACCAGAATGGGTTAGTATTGATGTTTGCAGAGAATGGGTTTACACTCTGTTTATATTTAGAAATTGTTTGCTCTATTATTCCAAGCGTTCCGACTGGTTAAAATGCATTATTTGAACACATTTTATAGTAATTTAATTACAAAGGGACTAGGCACAAGTTCGGAAAACATTAATGCCCTCTCCCTACATGTAGATTACAAGTTTAAATCGTGTTAGTTAAACATGAATTTAAAAGAATACAGTATTTGCAAAAGTCGAAAAAATGATGCATTTTGAAATGCATATTGATCTGATGTTTCCAAAAAACGGAAATTATCTTCTATTAAACAATGACAGTGTTGACTTTGCATAGTTATTACAAAATTATTGATGTTCCGAATGAACGAAATGCAGAGTACTTTAGTTCTAAATATTGTAATTATATATTACACAGTGTAATTGTTAAGAAGTACATGTAACAATCATACATGTTTCCGATGATGGATATTTATGTACTCTATGTTAAAACAAATTTGATGACTTTCCATAAATGGATGAAAAATAATAGTATATTAATAAAACAAAATGTAGCCGCATTAAACATGTTCAAAGATAATTTCCCTCAAACACTCTGAGTAAAAGTAATACATTGATATTAAACAATACATGTAAGTAAAATTTTATATCTATATGTAAATTTAAATCTTGCTTTTATTATTTTCAAATTCGATCTGGCCTGTCAAACTTTTCTAAAATAATAATAGTATAAAAAATGTAGCCCTTTCATCCAGTCAATCCATAAATATATGGACTACACAGAAACGCATACCCATGCTCGATTGATACGCTTTTTGTTGATCTTTCAAGTTAGTAATGCAGTTCAGTCATGATTTGCAAACTTGTGTTGCATCTGGTGAAACAACAACAAACACATCAAAGTACATGGTTTATTACGAAAGCCTATTAGAATCACTCTAAAGAGAAAAATTGTTTTAAAAGGCGTTATAACGCCTTTTGAAAAGGCGTAGTAACGCGAAAAAAGGCGTTATTACGCCTTTCCATTCAAAATGGCGTTATTACGCCTTTCCAAAAGGCGTGATTACGCCTTTCCAAGAGGCGATATTACGTCTTTCCAAAAGGCGTTATTACGCCTTTTAAAAGGCGTTATCATATACTTAGTAGTAAATACACCGATTCTGCACGGTGTGATACGGGTGACGTCACAATACCCCATATCACGGCCCGGTCCGAAAATCCATATCACGTATCGGACCGGCGGGCCGAAAATCCATATCAAACCGGAAGTAACGCTTGTATTAAGTTCAAAAGTTAATTTACTTTATTTTATTTAAATATTCATGTAAAATATTTCTTTAATGACATCTGTGGTCTTATTTTTTTTTTCCAGTTGCCGAAAATTGGCTCTTTTAGATTTTAAAGAAAAATGTCATAAACAAGCACGAAACATTCTTCAATGACAATATATGAACTCGCACATTAAGTATTTTAAATATATGATAAATAGAATACTACATACTAAAATCCATATCATATGTCACATCAGCCCGAGTGGCCCCATATCAGCCCGAGGGCCGAATAGTATGTAATATTATATAAATATTGCATGTAGTTGAGTGTAACATTGAAAATTTTCACCCCAAGAAAACCATTGTCAACCGAGGCGCAGCCGAGGTTGACAATGATTTTCGAGGGGTGAAAATTTTCAATGTTACACTCAGCTACATGCAATATTTATCATATTATACTGAATGTTTTATACAAATACATATTACAGTGAACCGTACGCGCATAAATTCCGCGCAGTCGCTATTTTTTGGAATACCACCCGTCGTCAAGCAATGTTGACTGTTGCTACGCAGTAGGGCGTGGTTTCATTATTCAGCGGGTAGTAGTGTTTTTTATCAAATGTTTCTCGACGAATCAGATTCAAGTAATTTACATGAAAGTATGATATTCTCTATTTATTGCACCTTTTTAAAAGGCGTTATAACGTCTTTCCAAAAGGCGTTATTATGCCTTTCCAAAAAGCGTTTTTACGCCATTCTAAAAGGCGTTATTATGCCTTTTCAAAAGGGTTACTACGCTTTTTTAATAACTATTATTTTGCATCTAACAGGCCTGTGCTTCTAAAGCCTCCCCCCCCCCCAACTACCACCACCTCCACTATACTGGCCAAACTCCTGGGTGACTTCTCGGTAAAACTTTGTTTATTAAATGCAATAGTTTGCCACAGTTTTACACACTGCAACAAAATGTTCAGGAACTTAGCAACCAACAGTTAATTATAATATTTAAACTGTACAAGACTTTTCCCAAAAAAGTGTGTATGTGTGGAGGGGGGTTACCCCATTTGCATTCGTACTACTGGCCTACTTGAAAAGGAAAATGGAAAGGCGTTATTTTTATGTTAATAAATATATGAAAGATTTAATTAAAACAATCTTTATTTAAGCAATTCTCTATATTCCTGCAGATCTCACTGACAACTGTTTGCATTCGTATTAAGAGAAGGCAACACTCTACTTGTGAAGATACGATATACTAGTAGGCAGATGTATCTTGGAGCTTTGCTTGCCATGTATTAAAATTCATGTCATTTGAAGATATTTTTCTCTCTTCTTGGAAAAAAGCAGGCAGACTATTTGCTATCTGTTTAAATTATTTTTTGAGAAATTAGTCCTATTTTCTCTTCATCTGCCATAAATACAATAATCATAGGTTAACTTTTGAAAGGAATTTGATGAATTTTTTCCATGATAAATATTTATTAATTAAATATATTAAATATGTCTAATACTCAAAAAGTTAAACTTTGCTTTAATAGCCATTGTCCAGAAGTACTGAAAATAACAAACTCATTTATTAAAAAATGTATTACATCTAGAAATGACTGCATAACATAATTATTTTACAAATGATGTACAATTTATCTATGATTATGTATAGCCTTACATTCTATATCAGATTATTGTTTATATATAATGAACAATTGATGATGTGCCTTTGCCAATTATTGTAATTGTGTTTGTGCCAATAAATATTTGTATTTGTATATCAAACTGTGAAATTCATGTCCCAAAGGTAAGATTTCTGCAACACCCCCCCCCCCCACTCGCTTGGGCTATATGAAAATAAAAGACGTAATAACGCCTTTTGGAAAGGCGTAATAACGCCTTTTTAGAAAGGCGTAATAACGCCTTTTGGAAAGGCGTAATAACGCCTTTTTAGAGAGGCGTAATAACGCCTTTTAAAAGGGCATAATAACGCCTTTTAGAATGGAAAGGCGTAATAACGCCTTTTAAAAAGGCGTTATAACGCCTTTTAAAAAAGCGTAATTATGCCTCTTGGAATGGAAAGGCGTAATAACGCCTTCTTGTAAGGTGGGTCAAATACATGTCTATTATATAAAATATGAAGGAAATCCCCCCTCCTCCCACCCAGTCGAGCGAAGAAAAATGAACATGCAAATACTGCATTGAGATGTATTTTTCTAGGGACCAGGCAAAATTTAACACAATGATGGGACCAGTACAAAACAAAATTCTCATTTTAAAAAAGTATGTGTCCCATGGCATTCGTGTTTGAAAAAAAAATATCTGTCCCATGCCTTAAGACTTAATAAAAGTCACTGTCCCATGGTAACATCTTGATTTCAGTGGAATAATTGGAAAAAAAACAGAGTCTTTCAAATTACAGATATTTCAAATATCGATAAAGTTTTTGTTTGTTTGTTTGTTTGTGTTTATACTTTGTAATATTATCCATTAATTTGAACATTTATGTTGCCATTTTCAGAATCCTTTGTTTGACTTTTGAAGATATAGATATTTTTAAATAAAATGAATATCTCTCTTAGGTTAAGTACTGTAACTCATTAAAAAAAAAAAGTACGTGTCCCATGGGTACTGAATGCTAAAAATATTTTTGTCCCATGGTTTTCTTCGATGAAAAACTCTTTGTCCCATGCCTGTTTGTACCGGTCCCATCATTGTGATAGATTTTGCCTGGTCCCTTATATATGAGCAAATGACACAAAACCTCAACTCAGCGGTATGGGTAAGGTTCCAGGCTTCCAGCTTCTTTTAGTACCATTTTTAAAAACTGAAACATCGCATTAATAACCCTTAAATGACCCTTATTTGACTGCAACAAAAGTTGGGGGCAGACTTTCAATGAACATTTTCTATAGAAGACCTTCTCTTGAACCCCCCCCCCTCCCCCTGATGCTACTGACATGCCTGTAATACTATGTTTCGACCCCACTCAAAGCACCAAACCTTGTACATGCCTGTATATTTTACAGTGTTGTAAAAAAAAAAAAGACCTGAGTATGGCACGCCAAATTCACAAAAATGATATAAACATAGTTTCACAGTTGTTAAACTAGGTTTATCGGTTGTAAACTATAGTTTACGGACTGTAAACTATAGTTAACAACGTTAATCTATATTTTACATCCGTAAACCATAGTTAACGCGATAATCTATGTTTCACAACCGTAAACTTTACTTAACACTGAAAACAATGCGATTGCAAAACATAGATTATCTGATAAAAACAGTTTCACGATTTGTAAACTATAGTTTACAAACCGTTAACTATAGTTAACGATCTGATAAATATAGTTTCACGATTTGTGAAACTATGATTAACAACTCTTAAATATAGTTTACGATTGTAAACTATTATTTACAAACGTGAATCTATATTTATCAACAAAATCTATTGTTAACGCTTATTACAGACAGATAAACTTAGATTATCATTCGTAAACTATAGTTAACAACCGTTAAATATAGTTTTACAGATGAAAACTATACTTAACGAATCGTTAACTATAGTTTACGGT